TTGGACTGGTTTTTATTGTTTCTGCAACTTCTGTTGTTGTTGTTGTTGTTGATGATGTTGCTGTTGTTGTTGTTATTGCTTTTTTGTATCCTTTTCTATAGTATTTTTTTTCTTTTTCACTGTGCCATCATAGTTTGAATAAACCTGGCACTTTGACGGACTGCAATAGCCTCCATAATATTGCGAGTGTATTCTGGGCGTCAATAACGTTTGACAAGCTAATTATAAAAAAGGCCTTTTTGAGTTTATTTTTTTCATACCAACATAAAGGCACACAAACACACACATACACTCACACACATAATTTACTACAGTGTATATTATCATATGTTATATTTGTGTACAGGTATGTGTGTTTTGTGTGTGTGTGTGTGTGTATGTGTGTGTGTTTGTGTGTGTGTGTGTGTGCATGCGTTCCGTGCATGCATTAGTGCGTGCACTTTTGTGTCTATGTATGTGTATATGTGAGTGTGTGTGTGTGCGCGCGCGCGCGCGTGTGTGTGTGTGTGTGTGTGTGTGTGTTTGTGTCTTATCATGTTATGCATATCATTTAGATTCTGAAGTCAGCTTTCATTGATCGTTAGTGAGCTCACCGTGTACTCATAACACCTCTACTAGGCGAGTTCCATTTTCTGCTGTCGAAAAGTCTTTCAGTGGGTGGTCCACCGGTGCTCTGGTGCTACTGCCCCCTCTTTCCTGTCTACCATCTATCCTACTCACCTTTCCTTCATCCGTTATTTGAATATTACGGTTTAGTAACACCTTAAATCTTCAACACTTATGACCTTTCTGATACCATGTTGCAATTGCCATAAAACTCTTTCTAAAACAAACACATTTTGAAAAAGCTCTTCAAAATACACATTATGTATCACCATTTGAAAGTGGAACCGACCTCATTAATGAAAGAGATAACATAAGGGTTATTGTTATAAATTTGCCATGTACAGTTCGTTGTTCTTCTCCACTGGTCTAAGGGGCTCACCTGGTCTAGAGGTTATAGTGTTCGCTTCTCATTTAATAGCTCCGGGTTCGAAACCTGACAGCGACGGAATACTTTTTTCTCTAAAATTTTATTCTTTCATCTCCTTTCTTGCTCTTCAATCACGTTCTGTCATCTGCTTTCGGCTCCACTTTCTGCATCCTACACCTCCCCCCCATTTTTGCGCTCCCCCCTCTGACGTTTTCTGCAGCCTTTCTATTGCTGCTCCTTATAGCTCCTTCTTACTGATGTCTTTCAGCCATACCCCTGATCTTAGAGTAGGTAGGACCTAACACCTATCCTACTCGGATAAGAGCGAAACAATCTTGGAGGTCCTGTGTGTAAGCTGTGCACGTTTAAGATCCCTTGGCGGTTCAAAATCGATTAGAATAGGCTTCTACCGTAACCCAGGCAAAATTCAAAAGTAATTCCTACCAAAACTGAAACTGTTTAATATGTCCCGCGCGATCATGACCTTATGTAGTTGCGGGCGCCGTAAAACACTTACCAAGCAAACAAACATTCTCCACAGGTCTTGGGAGCCACAACTCGTGACTTCTTGCAGAATCTGGACGCCCTGCACGACCATCTGTCCACCATCTACCCAGGCATGCGTGCTCCTTCCTTCCGGTGCACGGAGAGGGAAAAAGATGGCGCCACAGTTCTGCATTACTACTCCGACCGACCTGGGCTTGAACACATCGTCATCGGTATTGTTAAGGTATTTTGATTCTTTTGTTTGTTTTTAAGGTATTTTTTTTCTTAATCTTCGTTACACGAAACAGTGCCAGAAAATTTAATGATTATTACAACTGTTTGATAAAGCAATTTTATTGTCACTGCATTGACTGTGGAAGCCTTTGACATCTTGGCTTAAGTGTTATGCATCAGAGAATCTGCCTGCTCCTGCTTTTGTTTCTGCTTTTTATTTCTTTGTTAACGTTGCTTTTGTGTCAGGAAAAATTAGTGCACTAGATATTTTCGAAAAAAAGCTTCTTTTACTAGTTGTTTGTAAATTCTAATATGTGGTGGAGGTTGATCTGGTGTAGTTTTCTCTTTCTTTCCTATCAAACATATAGTCCTTATCTCTTTTCCTTTATAACATTCTTAGTATGTTACTGTCTTGTAACATGACGACCTCTGTCGTCTCGACAGACGAACAACAACAATTATCTGGTATCTAGTAACACCTCTTTTCTTCTCACTTATTTGACATATTTGTGTTGCAAATGCTGTAAAACTCTAACTTAAAACTCCAAACTCCTTAACTTTGATCAAGTAACTGAACACCTCAACTGCTTTTTTTTCTTTCTTTCGTCCCCACACTCATTACTTTGTGAACATTATTTGATACTTTAATTCAACCCCCCCCCCCCATATTATTTTCCCCTCCTCTTGCCTCCATCATCTCGTGGGCTCAGTATTGGCACTTTATTAGGGACATATCCTATAAGGTATCATTTTAGGCTTGATCCGTTCAAGAATCGAACTGATTTTTTTCAGGTAGTGTTCAACCACATCCATAACCATAAGCATAACTACAGCCATAACCACAAGCATAACTACAGCCATAACCACAAGCATAACTACAACCATAACCACAACATAACTACAACCATAACCACAACCTCCTATCCCAACCTTTGTGCTCACAGGAAGTGGCCCAAGCTCTGCACGACTCTCCCGTCAACGTGGAGATAATCCAGGACAAGGGCGACAACTGTGACCACGTACAGTTCGCCATCACAGAAGCCAACCAACCGGACCAGAGCAAGAAGGCGGAGCTTGAAGAGTTTGACCACACCCTCTCCTCCGAGCCCAAGATAAGCCCTGCCTCCTTCTGTCGAGCATTCCCATTCCACATGTTGTTTGACCGAAAGCTGGTCATCCAGCAGGCCGGTGTGTCCATCAGCAGAGTCATTCCGAAGGTAATAAAGTAATAATAATGATAATGGTAATGATGATGACTATGATGATGATGATGATGAGAATGATGATAATTTTTTCCCCGTTTCCTCAATGGGCCTGACGGACTTGCGAGGCTCTTTTTCGGCTCCATTGTCAATATGCTTAGCGGCACCTCCACTCGTCCAAATATCTCCAGGCGAGTAGAGGTGCCTCTTTGCAGTGACCTTGATGATGATAATGATGATGATGATGATGATGATGATGATGATGATGATGATGATGATGATGATGATGATGATGATGATGATGGTGGTGGTGGTGGTGATAATAGTAGTCATGATAATAATAATACCAATATTGTAACAATAATATAAAAGTAAAAAAAAAGAAAAAGGATTATAGTAATAATGGTAACTATAAAATAACATAATGATGATAACAACAACAACAACAACAACAACAACAACAACAACAACGACAACAACAACAATAATAATAATAGCAATAATAATAATAATAATATTATAATAAAGGGAAGAAGAAAAAGAAGAACTCTTTTCTAAATTGTTTTCTGCTCAGCCCAGATCTTTTTGTTTCTCTTTTTTCTTTCCGCATCTATCTATCTATCTATCTATCTATCTATCTATCTATCTATCTATCTATCTATCTATCTATCTATCTATCTATCTATCTATCTATCTATCTATCTATCTATCTATCTATCAATCTATCTGTCTATCTATCTATCTATCTATCTATCTATCTATCTATCTATCTATCTATCTATCTATCTATCTATCTATCTAAATGAAATATAAAAAACCAAAAACACACACAACAAAAGCAGTAACTAAACCCCATTACGCTTTTTTTCCTTATGTGTTTCCTTTTCTTGAAAAAAATAAAAGCAACTACCTTAAAAAGCTACAGTTTCTTCTCATCCCCATCAGGTGACCCAGCACTGCCGTCTCACAGAGATGTTTGACATGATTCGCCCCCACATGGAATTCGGGTTCGATCTGGTGCTGTCCCATATCAACACCGTGTTTGTGCTCATCACCAAGAAGGGAGTGCTCACGGTGGACGACGAAGAGGACGCCCACAGTGCTATGATGGACGAAAGGCAGCAGATGAGGTTGAAAGGTGAGCTGGGAGACGGATTAGTTGATTGATTGATTGATAGATAGATAGATAGATAGATAGATAGATAGATAGATAGATAGATAGATAGATAGATAAAACGATAAATTAGTTGATCGATTCATTGAAGTGTATAATAATTGTTGGGTTCATTGTTCGATTTGTTACTTAGTATATAATTATACTCATCCTATTCATTGATTGATTACGCAGTTAGTGTACACACTGATTGAACTGATTCAGTGAATACTTACAGAGTGTATTATGATTTTCTATTCACCATCACCCCCCCTCCCTCTTCCCAATCCAACCATTCCATCCCACCTCCTCCTCCTCCTCCTCCTTCTCCTCCCCCTCCTCCTCCTCGTCCTCCTCCTCCCCTCGTCCTGCTCCTCCTCCTCTTTATCCCATCGCCTCCCAACCCCCTACCCCCCCCAAAAAAAAACAAAAAAACTCGTGGAAATCCCCTCACCTCCCTCAACCCTCTTTTTTCCGTTCACCCCTCGTCCCCCACCCCTTATCCACCAAACAGGTCAGATGATCTACGTGCCGGAGTGCGACTCAATCCTTTTCCTGTGCTCACCCAGCGTGATGAATCTGGATGACATAAGTAGGCGTGGCCTGTATTTGAGTGACATCCCACTTCATGACGCCACACGCGAGCTGGTCTTGCTTTCTGAACACTGGGAGGCGGAATATAAACTGGCTCAGAACCTAGAGGTGCTCACCGATCAGCTACAACAAACCTATAGAGACCTGGAAGACGAGAAGAAAAAGACGGACAGGTTAGGGATACTTTGTAATGGTCATAAACACGATTATGGTGATCTGATTTGATCTGATCTGATAATTTATGATATGATATAATAATATATTACAAAGACTACCACGGACAGCTAGAAGCAAACAAGTAATGATGATAGTATAACATAACAAGGCATTTAAATAACGTTCATAAAGACTTGATTGCTCTCTGGGCGCTTTACTAAAACAAGGAACACTTAAACAGTACATTGTTTTATGACTTTAAAAAGTTGATAAGTTCGAATGAATTAAACAATTTGATATCACTGGAATCACTATGCATTTCGCGCTGGAACTTTGGATTATGGAATGCAAATGCCTTTCCAAATATTTTAACAATTTAAAAATGTTTTATTGATGGTAAACACACAAGCTGGACGTCAGCACCTACTAAATGCCTAATATGTGTCTAGGAAGGCGTTGGCTTTTGAGGGCGCTCTTGTTGGGCATTCAACAACGGATGGAACCGCATTGTATAGAAGCTTAGCTTCATCCATGCTTTTTCCAGTTCTCTTTATTACCTGAAACTTTAAAAAAGGCAGGCAACAACACGCACACTATGATATGAACAAAGCTAATTCCTGCTTCTGATTTGTGTATGATGGTTGGAAATTAGCCGAAATATTGTGTTTGGTTTGCTGCTGATCGGACATGTGTCTACCACGTTCTGAAAACAACAACTACAAGAAGAAGAAGAAGAAGAAGAAGAAGAAGAAGAAGAAGAAGAAGAAGAAGAAGCAACAAAGCAACTATAACAACAACAACAACAACAACAAAGCAACAATAACAATGACAACAACAACAACAGCAACAACTCATGCCCCAAAGCTTCTTTCTCTCCTCAGACTGATGTACTCCATCCTCCCTCCGTCCGTCGCTAACGAGCTCCGCCACAGACGCCCTGTGAACGCCACCAAACATACCAACGTCACTCTGCTGTTCAGGTAAGAGAAGACATTTTTGCTGCTCAGGTAAGACAAGACATTTTACCGTTTAGGTAAGACACGACATTTTGCTGTTCAGGTATGACACTACATTTTGCTGTTAACGATATGTCGACCATAATCAAGAGAACAATGAACGATCAACTAACTGAAAAAACAATTTAAAAGAAAAAATATTTTATGGAAGATTGAAATGTTTTTAAAAAATGTATCGTTTTAGCTTTGGTTCTTCTATGAGCTACCAAGGTTCCCACCTTCTAGGCACAATCCTGTCAGAGATGGACATTAAATTCGGAATTGGGAGGTCCCTCCTTTCATACATGTCGTATATAATCTTAGAATGTTTAAGAAGGTATTGAAACGAATTTATCGCATTTCTTTGTTTTGTTATTGTACTTCCACAGTGGCATCGTGGGCTTCTCCCAGTATTGCGCTAGGCACTCAGACACGGAGGGCGCCATGAAGATCGTAGAGCTGCTCAACATTGTCTATACACGGTTTGACGAGATGCTCGACCCTACCAAGAACCCCAACATCTTTAAGGTCTGTCCTTGGGGAAAAAATTAGCACTGACTGCTTTTTAAAGTTTGCTTGATAATGAAACTGCGTTTTGCGTTATTGCTGGGTTTTTTTTGTAGTAGCGTTTTGTTCACCGTTGCAGAAGACACAAAAGTCGACATTTTCAAACGAATTTTCAAGCTGCCGCTGCTGCTGCTGCTGCTGTTGCTGATGCTGCTGTTACTTTACTTCCCCTATTGCTTCTGGTGATTTACGATAACAATAATAACAACAATAATGATATTATTAATGATACGTCTGATGACAACATTATTATTATTATTATTATTATTATTATTATTATTATTATTATTATTATTATTATTATTATTATTATCCTCCTCCTCCTCCTCCTCCTCCTCCTCCTCCTCCTCCTCCTCCTCCTCCTCGTCCTCCTCCTTCTCCTCCTCCTCCTCCTCATAATCATAATCATCATCATCATCATCCTTACTGTTTAGTATATGGGCGATAGATGCTTGTTAAGAAAGAAGGAGCAAACCACACCAGAGCACCTGCCAACCACCCACTTCCTCACCTATTGGCTCGCAGGTAGAGACAGTGGGAGACAAGTACATGGCGGTGAGCGGTCTTCCGGATCAATGTGATGACCACGCCAAGTCTATAGCCAAACTGGCGCTCGATCTGATGGACATCTCCAGGGAGCTGAAGGATCCTAATGGGGAACAGATCATGGTGGGTTTTTGTCTGTGTGTGCTGGTGTGTGTGGGAAGATGGGTGGGCGCGCATGTGTGTGTATGTGTGTGTGTGTGTGTGTGTGTGTGTGTGTGTTTGTTTGTGTATGTGCTGGTGTGTGTGTGTGTGTATGTGTGTGTGTGTGTGTGTGTGTGTGTGTGTGTGTGTGTGTGTATGCGCGCGCGAGCGCATGCGTATGTATTATATATGTTCGGAAGATAAGGGGACGGGAGGAAAGGTAATACTTCACTTTTACTCATGTCAATTACTTTTATAGTTTGGTAAGGGTTTTACGGCGCTCACAATTGCATAAGGTCATATGAGCGCGCGGGACACAAGTTGGTTGTTTTCGGATCAGTTTACAGCACGGATTGGTTGAATTTAAGAATTTCATGGTAAGAATAAAATAGTATCTACAGTTATTTACATTTTAAAAATGTTATCTCTACGTCTTTGAGTAAAACCAACGGTCTCGATAAAATAGAAAATTCTGTTGGTATTAACCAGAAGACCAGTCTTCATTTTCGCATATAATAAGCCAAGTTGCAGGTTGAGAGTATTACTCCGCTGTCTTAGCAACCGCATTTCACTTATTATGTTTATAACATTCTAATTCCTAGAGGTTAGGCTACCGGACTCGTAATCGTGAGGTTGCGGGTTTGGGGGTTCGAGCCGTGGGCCTGACGTTGTGTCCTTTTTAAAGGAACTGTACACGAGTTTTCCTCATGTCACTTCACCCAGGTGGGAATGGGTACCATAGACAGCGAAAGATCTTGTCAGTATGTTAGTGTTTTAGCACCTATACATGGCTGCTTGCACTGTATGCTTCCCTGGAAGTTGAGGTTGTTTCAGTATGCTCTCAGGTGTGCTGGGGTAATAATATAGACTGTAAAGCGCACAGAGCTTGCTGTTGAGCGGGGATTTGCGCTATACAAATGCTATTATTATTACAGGTATTTTGTACTGTCTCTCCCCTGTAATTCTGTCTCTCTCTTGTCTGCATATCTGAACTATCTCTGTTTGTCTCTGTTTCTCTGTCTCTCACATAATATACTCACTCTCTTTATCCGTCTCTCTTTCTTCCTCTCTCTCTCTCTCTCGCTCTCTCTCCGTCCTTTTTACTCACTCTGTCTGTCTGTCCTTTTTATTTCTGCATGTATCGCTTTTCCCTTCCGATCTTCCCTCCCTGCAAGCCCCCACTTTTTCGTCTCATTATGTCTATTTCTTTCTTTCTGTCGCTTATTCTCTCTTGATCCCCCCTCCCTCCGACTCTCTCTCACACACGCATCACGCACAAAGACACACACACATAAACATACACAAACGTAAATATACACACGCACACACATATACATACATTCACACAAACACACACACACAAACACACAAACTTACACAAACACACACGTGAACACATACACATACTCAAACACACACACACACACACACGTGAACACACACACACACACACACACACATACTCAAACACACTCACACACACAGACAAACGCTCGCTCACTCACTCCCCGTATATATATATGTATGTATGCAGCTTTGTCTTTCCTGTCCGTCGTACCCCCAACTAACCCCA